CCACTACCGGCGATCTTAAGAGATTATCATAGAGATCCATTCCCCCAAACCCTAAGCTAAGCCCTAAACCCTAAACCCTAAACCCTAAAACCCTAAAACCCTAAAGCCCAAAAAACCCTAGAGCCCTAAAACCCTAAAGCCCTAAACCACTGAGGCGTGCCGGGGAGCTTCCGGCACGGTCGCTTCCGGCTGCTTTGGCGACGCTGGGCCGCTGGGCCTCAGCGGGCCAGGCCAGGGGCTGTTTGTTGTTTGGGTTGAGGATTTAGGGCTTAGGGTTCGGGGTTTAGGATTTAGGGTTTAGGGTTTTAGGGTTTAGGTTTCGTCCTGGCGGAGTCGCAGCAGGCCAGTTGTAAAAAGGGTTTAGGTTTCGGGGTTTAGGGCTTAGGTTTTCATGAGTATGTGTGTGTGTGTTTGTTTGCTTGCTCGTTTTTGCTGTTTGTGTTCTCTCGATGGAAATACATGGTTTCTGGAGTTTAGGGTTTTGGGCGAAGCATGCGCTTCATCTGCAGAAAGTAGTTTTGCAGAGCCGACAGTACAGGAGTGAACCCAGCTTCTTGGTTAAGCACGCAACGGATGACAGATGACAGGGTTCCTGCACGGGGTGGGCTTATTCTGGTGATGTTGCAGGGCTAAGCTTGGGAGAAGGCTGGCCCAAATCCCAGCATGGAAGCATGAAGTAGTTTCAACCAAAGGGCCCTTTTTGTAGCTTGGTAGCCGGAGCTTGTAGTTTAGAGGGTAGAAAAAGGCTGATGAACAAATTTATAGGTTTAAGGGTTGTTTGCCAAGGCTCCCAACTAATAGTACGGATGTTGTTTCGCAGCATTGTCGGTACTTACCGGAGGGCTCTGCCTGCATCAAGTGGTCAGACGTTGCTTCGGGGCATTGCCGGTACCTACCGGAGGGTGTTCGGAAGTAGATCCAGCGTGGACAAGATGAGAGCAACGACTTTTTGCACCGGTTCCACAAAATCTTCCAGAGTAAGCAGGTGAACGTGATATACCGAATAACGTACATATATATATATATGTGTGTGTGTGTGTGTATATATATATATATAGAGAAAGAGAAATCCCTGTTAGATCGTTGCAGCCCAAAGACAATCTACATTCAAGCCTGAAGCCGCTAGCCCTTGTCCCTCAAATCTGAAATCCCTACACCCCCAAACCCTAAACCCCAAGCCCTCAACCCCAAACCCTAAACCCTCAACCCTATATGAGTAAACCCTAAACTATAGTAAACCCTAAAACCCCCCCCTACTTTTTCAAGCGCCGAGCCTTAAGCTCCTCGTGGAAGACTCGGGCCAGGTTTCTGCCACAGCTCTGCAGGCGGCTGTTCAGCCACTGCTCTCCGCTTTGGCGTCCCTCCTCCTACTACAGATCTTGGTTTAGGTTTTAGGGTCTATAGGGCTTGTTTAGGGTTTAGGGTTTAGGGCTGATTTAAGGTTTAGGGTTTAGGGCTGATTTGGGGTTGAGGGTTTAGGGCTGATTTAGGGTTTTGGGTTTAGGGCTGATGTAGGTCAGTCGCATGCTCGGAAGCTGGAAGCACTGTCACGAGTACAGTGTTAGTCGGCGGACGGGTGGCTAGCTACCAGGCGTTCTTGCTTGCAAGCCTGCAGCAAAAGGGCTGATGTAGGGTTTAGGGTTCACTCGATCCCCAGGGTTCTCCCGTGAAGAATCCTCTGCAAGAACAGCTGAGGGACTGATTTGCTCTGTGGGGTGGGATGGGGGGGAGGGGGTATATCAACGATCCTTCGCAGAGCATCCACTTTCTCAGATGCTCCAGGGTGCCTTATCAGGTTTCTCACAGGTTTCTCACAGCTTTCTCACGGGTTTCTCACAGGTTTCTCACAG